TATAGTGTCTCTACTTTAAAGAGTCCTCTCCTGCTGATGTTCAGGTGTATATCAGTATGTAGTGAGTCCTCTCCTGCTGATATTCAAGTGTATATCAGTATAGTGTCTCTACTTTAAAGAGTCCTCTCCTGCTGATGTTCAGGTGTATATCAGTATGTAGTGTCTCTACTTTAAAGAGTCCTCTCCTGCTGATGTTCAGGTGTATATCAGTATGTAGTGTCTCTACTTTAAAGAGTCCTCTCCTGCTGATGTTCAGGTGTATATCAGTATGTAGTGTCTCTACTTTAAAGAGTCCTCTCCTGCTGATGTTCAGGTGTATATCAGTATGTAGTGTCTCTACTTTAAAGAGTCCTCTCCTGCTGATGTTCAGGTGTCTGTCAGTATGTAGTGTCTCTACTTTAAAGAGTCCTCTCCTGCTGATGTTCAGGTGTATATCAGTATGTAGTGTCTCTACTTTAAAGAGTCCTCTCCTGCCGATGTTCATAAATCAATAAAATAACAGAAGTCTAATTTAAATAAATCTATTAAATTAAATAAATCCATAAATCTTAGAGACTCACCGTGGCCAGTCATGTCCATGATATCCTCTTGTGTTCACGGAGAGAAGAGAAGGTTTCTAAATGTTCAGTTTGTCTCTCAGTGCTTTGTAAGCTGTGTGTTGTTGTCGCTCGACAGGCAGGAACAGGTCTGAGTTATTGATAGCAGCTGCAGTTTAAATACTGACGTCTGCGTGTGACGCAAATCTACGAGCGAGGAACCCCCTTCTCGAAGCCAAGTTCCGCCCTCTGAGTTTTACTTCCTTTTTACAATGTTGTTTATGAAGCTGCTTTAATCAGCAGGATTACATACAAACTGAAGTGTACTTTAAACTGTGGTCAACATAAACATATTGAATAAGAAATAATCAACTAAGATTAAGGGTTCTTATGGAAGTACCTAAAGGGTGAACATAATTTTATAGCTAACAGATAATTTGTAATTTATTTAATATATATTTTTCAAATGTTCAATTATTTTACAATTTACGTGCGTGTGTGTGTGGCTGTGTATGCGTGTGTGCGTGTGTGAGTGTGTGTGTGTGTGTGTGTGTGTGTGTCAGTAATATATTTTAACAGTATTTTCTTATTGTTTTGTTTTATACTCACTGTGATTATATGTTTTTTGTATTCTAAATTTAAACATTTTGAAAATGCGCCTTTCAAAGCTATCAATTAAAAACAAGCAACAAAGAAGATCAATCAGTAATTCGAGACTTAAAAAAAACAAAGACTCAAAAACAACAATCAGTTTAGAGGAATTATGATATAGAATACGTCAGTTTAAAAAGGTGGGTTTTCAGGCAGGATTTGAAGGTTGAGAGTCCATATTGCGGATGTCTTG